TAACATATAAGCTCACATAAATACTAAGTTTTGAAAAGCTATCACAAGAAAATTGTGTTAATAAACTTTCTGCTCTTACTGAGGCAGCAGATTACTTAAAGTAATCAGAGATCCTGAAAAACAACTGAGGGAATTTTCTAACCTGAAAAAAGCTCTTCAGGAACTTCAAATTAATAGAAACATTTTCATAAAATTATAAAGTTGAAATACTTAAAGGAACAAATTTGTAAAATAAATTACTCCTGCCCTTAACTTAATTCTCATGTATGCAAATGTGAAAGCAAAATTTATTACCAACGCATTGAAAATTGCTGAGTTACCGTTTTTATCAGCTATGAACACTGAGAACTCTTCTTTTTAGCACTATATTTTTTCTCATTATCTTAAATGACATTTATGGTAAAGCTACTCGCTTTTGAAAAAGTAGGCCTTTATATATAAATCCTGTATGTCTGTAGCACTGAATCAGAGAAGCTGCCTGAGTTAACTTATTTGATTATTCACAGAAGAAACCACCCAGGCTCCTGAAGTTCAATGAGCAAATGGTTTTTCCATAAATCTGTTTGTATGTGAAAAATCTCTAAGTACTATTACCTTTGGATTGCATTTAATATTCAGAAACCTAACAATACCCTGCTCTGCTTCTGATTTTGATTTCAGTTGCATGGCATTTCAATCTTAATTTAAACACAATAATAATGAAATCTACATCCAATATCTTGATTTCATTTGTAAAGCCATCTAGTTGGCCACACAATTTGGTAGGTTTTTTTCTTAAAGGTTCTGTATTGGGAATGCTTCAGACATGCTTTGCCTGGGTCTTCTGTGGGGCAAACTCTTAATTAAAAGAGCATAGTATTTGAATGTGATTTTGCACTGCTGAAAAAAAAAAACATAGATAAAACTATAATTTCATAAATGGCAGTTTGAAATATTTTATTAAAGATCTGTGGACTTACCAGACAAATTACAAAATATCTGAAAAAATATTCTTAATGGAGTAAGGCTTGATATATATACTTTAAAACTATGAAATGATAGGCAACATTCTGTTTTCAAAGAGAACTTTGAAACTCATGGTCAATTAATACAGTATTTCATAAGATATTTGTCTTTCCAGGCTGCATCAGTTACATAACAGTGAATAAACCATGACTAAAATAACAGCTCAGCAATTGCCTGGTGTTTTGTTCTAGATATGCAAACAGCTGATTACTGGTGTGGCTAGCAATCCTATAGAAATCCTTATGCAAGCAAAGAAGTTTGGTTCAGGCACAAGGGATTTTACTTCTAACTTATATCCAATGGTGTATAGGTTGTCCATATCTCTTGGTTTACTTTCAAATGTGTTTCCAGACTTTATCCTCTATTCTACCTTCTCTGGTGCTCTATATTAGACTGCAATTACATCTTAAGTTACAGATCTTGAAAGGAGTGTGAACAAGGTCTTAATGTGGTTAGAGATTGCAGAACCAAAACACTTAAAGGCTTCAAAACCCTTATGAGCTCCCATTCCCTGCTTTGCACAGTGAAAATCAGCTCATCACTTTGCGGTGAAGGTATTTGGTACCTTCCCAGGAAATACTCCTCAATGTTTCAGTTGCTGAATTCCTCACAAGACCTTCAAATGAACACCCATTCTCATTATGATTTCTTCTGGTTGGCTGAAATGCTTTAGCTGAAATGCTTTAGCTCTGACCATTTATGATTCTGTTTACTCTTTTAGGGATAACTTATCTGAATGCAAAACCTAAGATGTGTCAGTGCAGGTGTTTTTACATGAAGGTGGCTGGCTTAACGATTGCATTGAAAATAAATATATCATCATGATACTCTGTAGAGAAAAAAAGGTAAATACAGACTGTTTATGTTTTATTTTTTAATGAATCCTACTAAAAACCCCTGAGATTAGCTCAGTTGTGGCTTTGAACCCCATATGGACCATTCACTTAAGAGTTGTACTCGATGATCCTTGTGGGTCCCTTCCAACTCAGAATATTCTGTGATATAAATCCCACCCTTTACCCTTTCAGTCTTTTAAATTTCTCTGCAGAGAAATCTGTCTTAAATTTAACAGAGATTAAAATTAAGAATTTTTTTTCCATGGAGAAACTGAAGGGAAGGAATATATTGTTTTGTACTGATTAATTTTATTCTAATTTTTTATACATTGCTTATAGGTACAGCAAAAAAAAAGAATTTTGTCAGTAGAATGACAAAATGATTTCATCTCTATGAAATCATGAGTAAAAACATATTTTTCCCAATCAGCTTTCTGGTATACTTATCTACCAGGGTAAGCCCAGGTGCCATCACTGCAGCACGGTGTAAAGGTTTGGAGCCTTGGTGTAAGTCCCAGGTGTGAAAGCTGTCCCTGCAAGGCAGACACAGGCTCAGTGCGCATCCCTGTCTAATTCCAGAGGCTCCATCTTGGCTCAGCCACCTGCAGTGTGGACAGAAGGACTTCTCCTTTTCCTGGGCTTTAGAAGACAGTCAGTAACTGTCAGGTGATATGACAAAGGCAATGGCACTCCATGGGTTGGTAAAAAGGTACAGAGAAAGGCTTTTGTGAACATTTTATCTATGTTGTTGGGTTTTCCCCTCCTTTCCTCTGGAGGAGGTGATAGAGGGCTGTATCTTCTTATGGGATTAAGAGAGCAGTTTCAGCCATTCCCCATACCTTAACTATCTAAAGAAATAAGTAAACCAAAGTTATAGGAACTAGTTAAATAGTCCTGAAATAACACCTGCTCCAGGCTGTGTTCAAGAATAGGTGTGCTTGGTTAGTAGGATATTAATCCTGCAATTCCTTGTCTGAGTGAACTTCTGAGACCTGTGAAATTCTGCTGAGAGCCCTGGAACTTGCCATGACATTCTGCCCACATGGAGGGGGCAAACATTTCCCAGAAATGCCAGCTGCCTGGTGGCCTGTGTATTGGCTAATGGTGTAACTCAGACACGGTCACTCCATTCATAGATGGATGTCTCTGCAGTTGGATTCCTGGCTATGAGGGACAGGTCTGTCTCACTTCTGGCGGAAAGCTTCAAAAAGTTGACTTTTCTTCTCAATATATCTCTGAAAATACTGAAATTCCTTATTGAACTGTATCTCTTGCTGTTTTCAGACTAGTCCTGTGTTTTACATCTAGATTTTCTTTTGAATCTGAAATTCAGATAAAGTTTCTAAACTTGTTTGTTGCTATGTTCTTAAAAAAAAAATGTAGGCTGAATTTCAGGGACATTTCCACTGATACTTTGTTCAAGAACGATTTATAGTTCTGAGAAGTCTTCTTACAACAGTTCTTTGGCAGACTCTCTCTTGGCGTCTTTGGGTCTTAACTTTGAAAAGGAGAGGGTTTTTTTGTCCCATTTCCAAGCAAAATGAGACCCCCATGGCTGGGCTGCTTTTCTTTGCTTCCCTTTTTCAGTGCCTTCCCTCAAATAATTGCTGAGCCAGTTGATCAATTTCAATCAAATACGACAGAAAGAGAGAGCTGTGAGACATGAAGTTTAGGAAGAAAACAGGTACTTCAGTATATCTGAGAGTACCAGATAAGTGCTTTTATCAGGGAACAGTGGTCCAAAAGCCAGGAGCCAGCTCACCAGTCATCTCCTAGACTTTGCACCAGTCTCAGCAGGGGCTGTTACCTGCCCCAGTGGAGAGGTTCATGAGGGGTGCTTTGGGAACTAGCACCTCAAGGACACTGGAGGCCCCAAGGGACAACGGCACAGTGAGGTGTTTGTCAGGGGATGTACAGTGAGATATTGCTCAGGAGCAGCCTGTTACCTTGTGCTTAGGTCTCTGTGGTGTGATGGCAGCCGTGTAATATACTTTACAAGAGGACCAAAGAATATACCTACCTTGGGGTGGCTAAGTTATCCAGAACTGTCAATGAAATGTTAAATAATTAAATTGTTTTAGCTATTACTTGTAAGTGAATGCTGGTTTTAATTGCACTTTAATAATGCCATGCCCTTTATAACCAAAATTAATGTTTTCTGTCTCTCTGTTTTTGAAGTACATGTCAGTTTAATTAAACTATTAATGGTAGACGGATTTTTAAGTACTTTATATTCTTCATTAAATTGTATCTGTTCAACAAGCATAAACAGGAAAATAGACTCAGTTAGAAGCAGATTCACGTTCTGCCTGATAAATCATTCATCATCAGATAAGATGATGAGGCATGCTTGTTTTTTTGTAGGCTCACAATGATAAACAAATCCACTTTTATATTGTAATATTTATTGAGTTAATAGAAAAATAAACAAGACTGTTCACTTTTCATATCAACAACAGGCCTGAAAGCTGCTGTTTGCATTTATGACTGGTCAGTCAAGCAATATCTTGATGCTCTGAGGGTCAATCTTAGTTCATTTTGTCTGAGGTGCTTGTTAGCAGAGCATTTCTCTGGTCTAAGATATAGTTCTTTCAGGGCCATTCAACTACAGTAATAATGAATATTTCTACTGTTCCTGCTGTGTTACCCAATTGTGTCTGGAAAGAATTAAAATATCTTTTGATTTGGCAGAAATGATATATTTATAATGCAAATGTTGAGTAAGTCTCAGTCCTTGTAGGATCCATTGCAGAATCCATTGCAGGAAGGCTGATGAAAACAATTTTTTTAAGATTGTACCAGACAAAATTATGGCAAAGTCATTTCTTGTCCTTTGGTAAAGTCTGCAAGTGCTAGTGGGCTGTTAATGGGCTAACAGGCTGAAATTAGGAAACACTGCAGCAACTGCTCGTGATACATTCCTGTACATATTATACAGGCAGACAAAGATGTAACTGGTTATAATAGAGACAACAAATGTCCTTCCTTTGTGTGGCAGATCAATCAATAGCCAGGCATGTGATCTTGTTCACTATTATGTTAGTAATGAAACCTTCTTGTGATGTGACAACTGTGGAATAACATTTGGTCACAAAGCTGGTGTTAACAAGCACAACTGGCACTCTGGTAATTAGACTGATTTCTGGTCTACTTTCACAGATTGTCGATAAATGCAGTAAACAACAGGCTGCTTTCTTTCAGAAGAAGTTATATGAAGTTGTCATCCATTTGATGGTATGTACTGTACTCTCCATCTTTTATCAGATTCTGGCAAGGTGGAGATGTACAATATATTTCTCGATAAAATAATGTTTCACAGCAGAAACTTTATGTGCATTGTTCAACAATCACCTAATTAACCTCAACCTTTTTTTCCCTTGGGAAGGGCGTTTATTTCTCAGTTACAGGTATAGGCAGTTAGATGGAGATGTTCTCCCTCAAATTTTCAATGTTCTCCCCTCTGATAAAGCTGTGTCTGCTGTGTACAGCCATTAATATTGTTTAAGAATAAACTGAAATATTAAAAGCCATTGGCTTGATTTAAAGGCCAAGAATACAGATCTCATACAATCGTAGTATAATTTGTTACATTAAACAAAATAACTAAATTCAGCCACAAATGTGCTAGCCAGCTTTTCCATCACCAGTTTAGGACTGTTATGTCAAATCTCATTTGCTGTGGTTTGCTCTTTCTGTAGACCTGCAGTAGTGGAAAGCTGAACTGTTGTTTGTTATTTTCACCTTCATGGCAGAGTAAGAGGGAGTGAGACCTCCTTCCCTAGACCGTGTACCTCCTCCAAGCCTACAGGCTGGCTCTGCACATAGGAAAATGAGTGAGTGCTGTGCTTCTGCCTCCTCTACTTCTAAAGCAGAAGAATTGAGTCAACTGAGATGTGTCTGGGGAGCTGCTCAGCTAATTTTGCATTGGCTGCATGGCAAAGCTTAAGCTGGAGGTACAGTAACATGGGCACTATAAACCAGAAAGAGTTTCTATGCTTGCTCTCCTTTCACAAGGTACATTCAGAAACAGTGGGAAGGGAATGGCCAATAGGGACAGTGCCGTGGCATGACTGGGCACTGGTGCTACCTGGCACTTTGCCCAGATCTGCTAAGACCAGATCCATGCTGATTTCAAGAATCCTTACTGGTATGATTTGACTGAGAAGGGTTTTTTCTTGTGCTGAGCCATGTTTTGACCACTTATTGCAACCAAATTCACTTTGAAAGATTGAGAGAGCAGTGAGCATTTCTTCATGGCCATTATCAATATTTGCCAGATCCTAATACCCTTTACAACCAATGAAAAGCAGTAGGAGTGTTTTACAGTGGGTACCTAATTTTATGCAGGATTATAGCAGGAAGATGCCTCATTAGTAGTCAGTGAACATAAAAACTAAATTCACACTCATAAACCAGGGAGAGGTTTTGGACAAGTTCACTGAGCCATAGGTATCAAGAAGTTAGAGGATATAAATAGCAGTGAATGCAGAATGCTAATCTGAATGGCTGGAAACAAATATCAGAGGTGTCTGCTGCTACTCCCTTCAGAGCATTCTCTGTTCTGACAGACCTGAGCTCTGCCTACCTGGAAAACCAGTAGAGAGCAATAATCAGTGGGCAACACCAGGCTGGGAATTTTCTTGGTGATGTTTCTTGCACAGGTCCCAGGGAGGCAACACAACTCCTTATGGGTTGGGTCCAGCTGGTGTATCAGACCTTCCATTCCTCTCAAAGGGGAGTTGCCAGTGACTACTACCTTTCTTTTTTTCTTAATTGAGGAGGTTGTGATGTAGGAGGTAGGCTACCTTGCCCTAGGTGATGCCTCCATCTTGGAAGAACCTTCATCTGTATTCTCATTTCACTGGTCCTCAGGTTCCAGGACCTCATATGTATTGTATAAGGAGAGGTAAGTCGGGGCTCCAAGCAGAAACTCATTTCCACTCCACACAGTCCTAGCTTGGTTGGGAAGGGACTACAGGAGAGCTAGGTCTGACCTCCTAGTGAAAGCAAGGTCAGCCATGAGGCCAGACCAGGTTGCTCAGAATTTCATCTGGTCTGCTCCTGTGAACCTCCAAGAATGGAGATGACACAGCCTGCCTGGGATGCTGCTTCACAGCTCTTCCCCTGCCCAGAAATCACACTGAAAGTATAAATGTGTATTTTCAACAGTTTCTTCTGTTCCAACATGATATAGTTTGGAATCAGTGCTTCTCAGAGCTTCATGTAGATTTCTATGGCTAAGCCTCACATCTATTTATAAAAGACTCAAATCTGCTGCTGAGGCAACACCAAGATTGCATTCACCTGTCAATGGGAGTCCATAAGCAATGAATATTTTTTTGCTGCAGGAAGTGAGAAAATAAAATCTTAGCTGATAGGAGGGATGGGGTTCCAGCTGCATTAGGTAACAAGAGAGTTAATGTGATTTAAAAAAGAGGTGGTTGGTCGAAGCATGTGTGAAAGCATCACATGTTTGGAGAAAGAACCTCTGCACTTGGAAGGTAAGTGAAGAAACAAGACAGAGATGTTTTGCCATTTGTATAATTTAAGCTCTGTTGTTTTGAGGAGGTTTTACCACACAGATTACTTTGTCTGAGGATGACAATGCAGAGTGTTTCCAGCACGTGGCTGGAAAATCTTAGCCATAGCTGCACGTGTTTAGACTTTTTGGTGCACTGTTTGTACAAAAGGTTTTTGTCAGGAAGAAGCACAGTGTTCTCCCTTCTTAAGTGTGTATTTCACATTCAAAAGTGATTTCTTTGGTAAGATTGAATAAATTCTAGTTTACTAGCTTTGATTTTAAAGAAATGTAAGGAAGAGAGTACAAGTTGCCTTGGCATTTTGTGTTTATTTGTCATCAGTTACTTCTATATTAAATTGTTCCACTTACAAGCTAGTATAATTTTTTTCCTAAGTGCCTGCTGCTCTGTCTAGTTGTGGAAAATGAAGCTAAGTTGTTTATGACCTGAACTGTACTTCATCACTAACCTTCAGCAAATGTACAAGTTCTGGAATGAGAATAAAGCTTCACTGGTGGTAGCACAGCATGAGGCAAAGTATAATACATATTACTGTGGTGCACCTGTGCTGGCTTTCCCTTGCTTATTGGGATAAAAAGTGCGCTTTAGTAGCAGGCAAATAGGTAAAGCTTAAGAGGCCAATCTTCTCTGCCTGGCATATGGGGTTCCCATTAACATTAGTGAGTAAAATGGATATATTTTGACAAGAGAGCAGACACTTGAGGGAGCAGATAAGTGCAGAAACAAGGTGACATTTTCATAGTCACTTTTCAGACCAAAACTGAACTTTTAGAGTCTCTAAATGTAAAGATTGCATAATGTGTTTGTATTACTTAATAACTGTCAAAATTCTAGTGAGGAAAGCCAGGTCTGGTCTCGACCTTTAAGAGAACAAAGTGCCAGTTTCTCCCCAGCCCATGTTTAGGCCTGTCCTCAGTAAAACACCTCTTTGATACCTTTCCCACACCCTTAATAGTTATCTTCTAGTTTTCATCTTCCCTATGGAAATGACTAATTAAAAATTCTTTAAGAAGGAAGCTTTGTCACTATGTAGAGATCTCAAAATTTTTTTTGCACCTTTTCACTCTGGTTTTGAAGGCTGTAGTTGCACGCAAGAAGGTTATAAAAGGATGACCACAGATTTTCTTCTGTCGATGGACGGAGGCTCTTCAACCTCCTTTGGTGTTGCAGCCGATGCAGTCCAGACCTGTCGTCAGGGGAGGTGCACTGTGATGGCCAGAGGGAGATCAGCCTCTCACTGAAATGATGCAGATGGTAAGTGTTTTCCCAGTGTTTAGTTTAGGTAAAGACAATTCTCTTCATGTCTTTCTTCACAGGTACAACATATCTGTCTTTCCAATTTCTCACTGAAAGTTAGATCCCGAATTTCTAACTTGACTGGATAAGGCAACTTGCCAGAAGAGATGAGAGATCAGCTGAGCAGGCTTCTAAACTCGGTTTACTGGGGAGCCTCAGGCTTATTCTGGCTTTTCAGGCTGCAACAGTAGCCAAGAACATTTATTCCCATTTCCACTTGGCGAAAAAGATTTTCTTCTCTTTTCTTTCAGCTATGTGCTTCATTTCAGTTACTTCTGTCTTTCCAAAATCCAATTACTGAATAGCTACTTTTTGGATGCCTTTAGCCAATACCCTGTGTGTCCATTTAAAACAGCTAGACACAGATGATGTATAACAGCTTTTTGGTTAAGTGGCAAAACTGAACCCAACCCAGCTAAATCTGAATCAGATGGTTTAAGGAGTTTTTTACTAAATTAACTAAAAGTTATTTATATTCTACATCCAAAGAAAAAAAACTCAAATATTTGATGATTTCCCCCCCCCCCCCATTTTTATTAGGTATTTTTTTTCAATCATAATGCATTTTCATTTCAGAGTGTAAAGTTATTTTTAGAAAAAAATCACTGTGGAATCTCACTTTCAAAATGCTAAAAACCGTTTCAACATTTAAAAAAAAATCCCTTCTGCTTTTTCAGCCAAAGCTCTGTCCTGTACTGAGCTCAATAACAGGAATTGTCCCCATTCCCCTGTGCCTCACTCAGTTTGTGAGTGAAGGCAGCCCTGTGGGGTGGAGGGGCTGTGTGGCCCTGCCTGGAGTTGTGGTCAGTGCCAGACACTGCTGTAAGTGCTGTCAGTGATCTGCTCTGTCCTACATGTGTTACTGCTGTGCTCTGCAGACTCAGTCAATTGATTCCAATAATTTTCCAGGCTCACCTCGAAGTGCTGCATTTGTACCTATGAAGCTCCTATGATCACAGTCTAGGCAGGGCATGATTAAAGAAGAAGAGCCCACCTTTCTGCTGCCCAGCCAAGTTTCATGAACTTCTTGGTAAGTTCAAAACCTGGTTACTTTTACAGTGTTTTGGCTGGAGAGATGGTTTCCTGACACATTTGAGGTCTCTTGTCACTTGGAAACATTGAGCCAATTTAGCTAATGTTTTAATTTTTGTTGGATTTATAATTGTGGTCATGTGTCAAGAGGTCAGTTTAGAAAGCTTGGTAAGCTGGAAAAGCTAGCAACAAATCGAATCAAGTGAATATCCTTTCATTTCAACACCTTTTCCTCTCCTTGTTTCAAGCCCAGAAGGAGGCCTTAAAGTTGATGAGAAGATAAATTCAATTATAGTTAAAGCTAACTTTGGCTCTTAGCTCTCATACTACCTTTCCCCATCTTTGCCATCCATCCTATTGCAATTGTTTAGATTTGCCCCAGTAGTAGTTTGCCTATTAGCTTTGCTAATGAATTTACTAGTACAGAAGACCACTTTCAAGACTGTCCTAAACATAATGAATGTAATTATTTAGCACAAAACCAGGGCAGCATCTTTTTCTCTCTTGACAAGAATAATTCTTTATTCTCTCATTAGCTATGTGCCTTGGTCTCAGTAAACTAGTTATTGACCTGCTCATTTAAGGAGCTTCACTCTAAATGCTTCTTCCCTTATTTAACTCAGACAAGTTCCTCTAATTTCCCCTCACCATGCAGTGCTAGCCGGTAAAATGTAACCATTGTTCATTTGTTGTGAAGAGAGCTGGAAGACAGGAAGCTATTCTTAGATGGATGCTCAGCCTCCTGAGCCCTGCTTGCTTGTCCCTGGTTATAATGGATACAAAACTGTATGGGGCTTAGTAGACATCGTGTAAACTCTATAGGAAATCTGAGCCAATGAATCATGGAGACAGACCCCCACTGAGCATTGTGTGTCTGAATAGACTACAAATAGATAGAAAAGCAGCTTAAGCAAGTGGCTTTCATATGACAAGAATGCATAAATTAGAAATGAATTGAGAGTGTCTGTTGTTTTAAAGCAGTTGGATTTTTACTTTCTTTACCATTTCCCTGTTGTAAGAAACCAGTAATTACTCAGACTACACTGCAGACTGATGCAGAGTTTTTGCATGTGTGTGGTTTTTGTTGCTCTTTAAGCCTTCTCCATTGGACTGTGCTGGCTCAGCCCCGTGATGCCATCCCACGCTGCCTCCCTACAGCTACCCTGTCCCATCTGTCGGTGCCTGTTGGGGCATCCTTGGAGTCTCCTACCTGGAGCATGACATAGATCCCTGGGGAAAACAGATCTCCAGCGGTGCCAGGGCTCTACAGGTGCAGGTCCCCAGCCCCAGCCAGAAGCACAGCACCAGCTGAACTGGGGTTATCCCATGGCAGAAGGGGCAGTCTCTCATCTCACCCTTGCACTACCCAGTGCTGAGCAGCAGTTGATTGCCTCCTGTTCTCCTTGGGCCATGAAGTGTGTAGGACTGCCATCAGGTAGGGCCTGACCATCAGAGAGTGGAAGGGCATGGCATTTCCAGGCAGCCTTCTCCTGAAATCAGCCATTGCCTGACCAACAGGGACATCACAGGGATACCAAGGAGGAGTGCCTGCTTGGTCTGGATCCAAGCTGTCCTGCATCAAAGGGTGGGATGTGGGTGTAGAAACTCAGATGCAAGATGATGGCCATGTGATGATAGCAAGTATGAGGAAAGCGCAAAATCCCAAGATCTAGCCTTTCCCCAGCCTCATGGTAAAAGCATCACTCCAGAAGGAATTTTTTTGCATAGAAATTCAGTAGGCTCCTCCAAGAGAGGGATACTCACTCACTACATCTGTGGTCTGGAAGTAGGAAACAGTCCGCACTCACAAACCCCATCTCCTGCTGATCACGTTGCCAGTCCCTGCTCAGTGACAGCAAGCCAACCACCTAAGGAGCAGCTGCCATCTACCCAGCTTTCTCTGCAGCAGCACTGCAGATCAAAGGCCAGCAGTGGTAAGGGTATGTCCTTCCCTACTGCCTCTCTGGCTGGGGCCCAGCGCATCATCGGTGCTATGTCTCTGGAGACTCTGCCTCCCACTGCAGCCTTGTGCAGCCCTGTGCAGCCCCTGCAGGGCGCAGCTGGCTGGAGGTGCAGAGGGTCCTCTTCCAGCAGCAGCTCCAACATGGGAGAGGGGGCTGGAGGATGGTGATGGTGCAGGCAGATACAGGACAGCCTGAAGAAGGGCTGGCAGTTCTGATGCAAGCTCAGCTGCTGGCTGGGAAGAGGACATTTCCCTTTGAGAGTGCCATGTGTACTATGTCTGCCCTCATGCCTCCTGCACGTGGTGAGCTGGTTTCACAGGCAGGGTTACGGTGCTCTCAGGTCTCAGAGAGCAGTGTCAGGTGCTTGTATTTGCAGAAGAGCTGCTGCTGGCACCCACCATGGCCTCAGCAGAAGTCATATCCCCTCTGAAGAAGCTGATGCAGTGGTGGTGGGTCTGGGAGCTGCTGGGTTCAAGGGTTGGCAAGTGGGGCTCTGTGCAGTGGCTGACTGCCATTTTGTTACTTGTTTTTTGGTTGTTTTCTGGCTTTTTTTCTGTGCCTTTTTTGTTAATTTTGCTATTTTCTAAAATGAAATATCCTGTCTCTAATTGTTCACAGATTGCGATAATAGACTGCGGGCAGATGGCCTGTAGTTTGTAGTCCAGCAATCATATGAGAGAGACAGCAGACCTCAGTTGTGTTTATAAATACTGGTGCTGCAGCGTCGCTCTTTCTCATGGCCCATATTCCCTCCTGCTGTAATGATCTGGGTTTCTCACTGTGTCACTTGTGCCAGAGGCCCACATGAAGTCCTTGGCTCTCTATAATTTGTGTGGCCTCTGATGAGTCTCCAGATGGGCCTGGGGGGCAGCATTGCTTCGCCTCTGTCTAGTGAGGCAAAGGGGTCTGTGTCTTTCCAGGTGGGAAGAAGGAGACACCTGAGTGACTCACCTGAAAACAAAGGGCAACAGACAAGACAGCAGAGAGACCCAGCTTGGGGGGCTGATGCCCTACAGTGAGGGCAGGTTGGGAAATGAAGGTGCTGTGCCTGTGGACAACCTCTCAGACTGTGTCCCATGGACACCTCTCCTCATTCAGCTCCTCTGCTGGTGGTATTTCAAAAGCCAGTGCCATGCCTGCCATTGCCCCACCTGAAATGCAGTTCAGCTTCACGTGAAGTCCTGCAGTTCCCAGCCCCTGTGGTCTGGGGAGCTGCTCCGGAAGGGCAGTCAGGAACATGAACCACCCCACGTACATGTCTGCTGGCTGTGGTGTGACTAGGTCGTGCCAACTGCAACAAATCTATAGAAATGTGGCTTGCACAGGACAGTGTAAAAACTCATCAGGTTTTGTATTAGAAATGAAAATAAATTCCAAACTTACACACTGCAGAAAGTCGGTGCAAGGTATTTTACATGGGCATGTAATGATAGGACAAGGGGTAATTGCTTTAAACTGAAAGAGGCTAGGTTTAGATCAGATATTAGGAAGAAAGTCTATACTGTGAGGGTGGTGAGAAACTGGAACAGGTTGCCCAGAGAAGCTGTGGATATGCCCTGACTCTGGAAGTGTTCAAGGCCAGGCTGAGCAACCTGGTCTAGTGGAAAGTTCCCTGCCCACGGCAGGGAGGTTGGAACCAAATGATCTTTAAGATTCTTTCCAACCCAAAACATTCAATGAATCTGTGGTTTATACTGAAGAAGGGAAAATTAGGCACTGTAGTTTAGCTGACAGGTTTTCTCAAAATTATTCTTAAAATTAAAATATTTTTAATAGTAAAGCTTTTAGGTTAAGTATTTGATATGAGGCAGCTTACTTTCAAGGTGTTTTTTCCATTTCTCATAGGTAGATTAAAAAAATAAATGCTTTATTTTAAGATAGCATTTGTCTGTTTGAATGTAACTGTGGCACAAAAACTTAGCAATAGACACGTTCACCTGATAAGGAAAGCTGGTTAACAGTTTTGTTGCATTTTTGAGTCTGAATAATGATGCTTTAATGCATCTTTTTCTTGACTATAATTCCAGCTGTCTTTATAAGTGTAACTTGGCTTGTCAGTGCATGAATTCTAAGATAAAAATTAGACAAATTAGGAAGAAATCTACTGGCAGTGGAGAGCAGGCAGCAGGACAAGATGGCATGACTAAAAAGTATTGTTCTGAATAGTCTTTAGCCTGAAATTTGGAAGGTTGTATAACTTAATTCTGTTCAAAACTGTTTAATTACATGTTCTATGGGGCTTATTGGTGTGTGTGACTGCAGGACCAGGTCTTGGTTCCCTAGTCATGACTCACAGAGCTGCCCATCATTGTGTGGCTGTGCAGAAGATGGGAGATGTGCAAATGTAAAAATGGTGTTCGAGGCACTGAACTGGTCCCTGATGCTCTGCAGTGTCTGAAAGAGTTTTCTTTGGGTCTTGCTGAGGACGTTGCAGGGAGTTCTCACTTCTTCTTGACTTCCTGTACTCCGAAAGGCAGAATAGGTTTTGAATGACAGCATTTTTCTAATGGCCTCAAGTTTCATTCGTAATGGCAATAGCTGACAGGAAGGTAGTACGTATGTGATACGAACCCTTCTCAATCCTCAGCAGAGGGAGTATGGTCCTGTGGCATCATGCTTTTCCAACCGGCCACTACATTTCTTGCTCTGATAGCTCCTCTTTGCAAATCCTCATTAGTTATTTCATGTGAAACATTAGTAAGGAAAGAAAACAGGGTGATTGCAGTCACTTAATTCTACACAGATCTTCCTATTTCTTAACAGTCATCATTTTTCTGTGAAAAATGGTTTGGCACTGAAATATTAGACTGTAAATTGCAAGAGGGAGATTAATATGTCCTCTGTCTTGGCAAGTGTTCCTATTATAGCATTAGTACTGAGACCTTAAGTTTAGCTTGTTTTTAGAGGTTTGATATAACTCACAGAAACTTTGATTTGATGTGCATAATCATATTGTCTCTCTTCTACTATTAGACTGGTCTTTAATGCCGGGTTAGTTAGATTTGTTTATCTGCATTTTAACGGAATCAACTGT